CCCGAGATCTGATGGCAGGAGCACGTCCCGGCCTTCTCAGGCGCCACCGCAGGAGTGAGTGCACGCGATCTCTTTCTTGCATCCTTGCATCACTTCACTCAAGATTCACCCCCTTTGTTGTGGGGAGTAAAATTCCTCAAAAGGAAACTGATTATTAAATTGTTCCCGAGAGAAAGGGCACGAGACTGAGTGGCTTAGAAAGCGAGTGCTGATGGAAGTCTCTCTTGGGGCTGGAGGGAGGGTATAATTTCCCGAGTTGTGGGGCTCTTTTGTAAAATGCCTGTGGATCGTCAACACACGGCAGCCCCAAGATCGAGAAGGCGGGGCGGGTTGTGAGGCTGAGCTGCGCTCCTCGCGCGGCCCAGCAGAGGGCATGCAGCAGACGGCCAGCCTGGCGTCCGACCCACTTTCCTGACCATGGTGCGAGTCCTTGTGAGGAAGTAGGAGGCTGGGGTTTGTTGCGAGGGTAGAAGCGAGAAGCAAATCTGGGGCAAGTTAAAAAGTTGCCCAGAGGGGCTGCACCTTGGATCCGAGACATCAGAGCTTTCAAGACGAGTGCTGGCCCTGCTCTGCAGAGGGCTCCTGAAGGCACCTGGGCCCTTCTCATCTTCAGACGGGGAGAGCAGGCTGTTTGGGGTGGAAGGAGTTGTCCCAAGCTGCACTTGACACTGGCAAAGAGCTTGTCTAGATTTCCTTCTCATTTTCAGTTTCTGTTTTAGAAGTTGAGCCCTTTAAGCCGTCCTTAAGCTTCAGGATCACAGGAGAACGGGGTTCAGTCAGAGCTCAGCTAGAAGGTCCTCTCTGGCCCTCCTCGCCAGGCCCCGTGAGAGAGTGGCAAGAGCCCTGGCATTGAAGTCGGGAGACTTCAGTTTATGTCCCAGCTCTGCGCCTTGCTCTCTGAACGAGTCACTGGGCCTCTCTGAACCTCAGTTTCGTCTTCCGTAAAGCAGAGATAACAATACCCACCCCCCAGGCACGTGGTAGGGCCGAGTAAACAGTGTCTGGACTTGAATCTCCCAGGGACCTGACACCCAGGTCTGTAAGACCACCCTGGAGCTGGGCCAGACTTGGGGCGGGGGGCAGTGTCGGCACTGATGACTTTACCAAGTTCTCTTTAGGAGTCTCAGACTGGGTCTTTGTGGCCTGGAGCGTAAACATTGTAACTCTGCCCCATGAGACTCCACTGGGCCATATTTGACCCAGTTTCCGTCTTTGCCCCTCACTGCTTTTCCCCAGACCCGCCCCCTCCCTGCTGTGCACATGCGCGTCCATCACTGCTCTGCTCTCTCCTCGTTCCCCAGGTTGCTCTTCTAGACATCGATATATGCGGGCCGTCGATTCCCAAGATCATGGGATTGGAAGGAGAGCAGGTAATGGCTGCCTGACGGAGCGCAGGGGACCCTCACGGTTTTACGTGACACGATGGGGTCCGGTAGATGGCCACTCGTCTGTCCGTCTGTCTGCTTTCACAACGGCTGTGAATTTTGGGGGGCAGGCTTATATCTAAAGTTCATCCAGAGCCTTTGAGAAGCATTAGTTTCGATGCCTTCTCAGAGGGGAAGGGAAACAGCAAGTGAAATGCAGAAGTGAGACGTGGAAACGTAGCTCTGGCTGGGAAAGCTAGGCCAGGGTTTGCTGGGGTCTGTACGCTGGAAGCTAGGGAACGTTGCTGCCCTCGTGGCCACCCCTGGGGAAGTGAGACTGCAGGCCGGCCAGCAAGGCAGGGCGGGGCAGGGCGCCGCAGCTGCAGGTGCTGGTCTCTCCTCCAGGGGGACCCGAGCAGTCGGAGAAGGGGTCCCCAGGACGGGGCATTGGAGCTGGGCTGGAGGGGCGGGTGGCTCCAGCGGGGTCCAGTCTGGTTCTCCCTTTACTGAAGGGCCGGCGCCCATCCTGGTGCTGGGGTGCCGTGCGGACAAGGCGAATAAAGACCCCGGCCCTCGGGGGAGGGAGCAGATGGTAGATAATAGAAAACTGAAGCAGGGTAAGGGGACAGGGACAGACAGGCCGGTGGGCAGGGGAGCTGCTCTTTGCGAGGGGGCGGTCAGGGTCACCCCACTGCGGAGAGCTGGGGAAGAGCCTTCGACGCTGGGGGAACAAGTGCAGGAGTGTCCTCATGTCCTCAGCAGAGTGGCCACGGGGCTGGGGCAGAGTGACAAGGGGAGGGTGGCTGGAGGGTCGCCAGAGGCTGCACACGGCTTGGGGTTTGCTCTGAGGGAGCTGGGAAGGGGCGTGAGGCCCTCGGGGGCTGAGGCGGAGCAGCGGATCCCCTGTCTGCGATCACACACCCACGGGCAACAGGCTTTGAGCTCTCGCCCGAGTGTGGGGGACATTGTTTACTCATATGTCAGTGCAGAAGTCAAGATCGAAATTGTTAAATGGAGAGAGGAAACAGAAGTTCCACCGTTTTCTTCTCCTGTAGTCTTGGGTCATCAAGGTTACCCCTTTCAAGACCGCTGACTTAGAGAACGAGTGTAAATAGGAATGAATGGGTTTTGTTAAAAAGTGAGACCTCAAAGCCAGTCACCAAAGACCACATATGATGTGACTGCATTTCTATGAAATGTCCAGGACAGGCACCCCTCTAGAGACAGAAATAGATCGTGGTCCCCTAGGCCTGGGGGGAAGTGTAGGGAGTGGGGGTGACAATTGAGGGTGCAGGGTGTCTTCCTGGAGTAATGGAAACGTTCTCAAGTCAGTTGTGGTGAGGGATGTCCAACCTTAGGGATAGCCTGAAAGGCACCAAATCCTATACTTTAAAGGAGTGAATTGTGCGGTATGTAAATTATATCAGAACAGAGCTGTTTAAAAAAGTGAGACTTCATCAGAAGAGACTTTCTGATTTGGCTCCCACGTTGCTCTAAAGCCCCATTTCTCACATTGATGTGTAATGTGTGAAGTTGCGTAAGTTCTAGTTTCCTAAGAAAGAGGTGGTGCAGAGTTGAACCCTGGCTGTGGGTGAACACCTGCTGCAGGAACCCCAGTGGGCTTCCCACGGACACCCCGCCCCCCAGCCCTTGCCCCCACGGGGGCAGCAGGTCAGAGGTGAAGCTCAGGCCACTGATGGGCAGGCTCTCTGTCACTAAAGGTACCTCCCTCACTCCTGGACTTTCACGGGGGCAACCTGGGTGCTCCACAGTTACCTGCATTTTTCTCAGCGAGCCCCACTGAGTTCTGGCCCACTGTGAAGATCCCTCAGACCCGAAAGTATATTTGCACTCCGGTAACTTCAGTCCCTTGACTAGGTGTCCAAGCAGAGTTTCAAAACAACCCAACCTGGGAGGGCAAGGTATTGAATGATACCGTCCGTTCCTTGCCACCAGCTCTTCCCTCCCTCTTAGGAATTCAGTGGTAGCACATAAGAGGATGAATGGCAATTTATAAAACTATATTCTTAGTGTGTAAAATTTGCCTGTGCGTGAAGTGTGAGTAACTTACAAATGAACATCCACGCCCGTGTTCACGCAGGTTCACCAGAGCGGCTCGGGCTGGTCTCCTGTGGTGAGTTTTCACCTCTTTGCCTTATTTTCAAGGTCGTTTGTGGGTCACACGCACCTAATGGATGTGTGGTGGGTTGGCAACATTTTTCTCAGTCCGCCTGTTTATCAGTCAACAAACATTTATTGAGGCACTTTTCTCGGCACAGGGAATACAGTGAATACCAGGGACTGGCTGACTTTTTCCATAAAGGGTCATCAGTAAATAGTTTTAGTTCGTGGGCTGCAGTCTCCGTGGGTGTAGCTCACAGTGGTACTGGGTAAATAAACGACCGTGGCTGCGTCCCAGGACAATGTTAAGTACACAGACAGAAGGTGGCCAGATTTGGCCCTCCCCGCTTGAGACAGCTAAGGAGATGACACTCATTTCTTGCAGCCGAGTTTAGTGTCTTGGCAGCATAGGGCCATCAGTGCATCTTTCAAACCCCCCAGTGTGCTAACCTCTTTTTTTCTTTTTCAAAAACGATTTGAGGATTCCAAGAGTGAATATATTCATAGATCCTATGGTAATTTTGTCCTTAAAATGTTTTTTCAGCCAGAGTTCAGATAGAAGACAAAGGGAAGTGCCTTGCGCTGTGGTTTTAAGTAAAAATGTTTCTTGCTTCATCCTCTCCAGTTCCTGGAAGACAATCTGGGGGTGATGTCGGTGGGTTTCTTGCTCAGCAGTCCCGACGACGCTGTTATCTGGAGGGGACCAAAGAAAAACGGTTTGCCGCCCTGCCTTTATCGCATTCTCCCGAGGGCACAGTTGCTCCGGGTTCTGTGCATGCTGTCCTGTCAGGATGGCAACAGCTGCCTGCTGGGCTTGTGGCCTGTTAATTTTAAGCATCCACTTGCCTCTATCTTCACTGGCTGAAGAGAGCTAATAGAAATATCAGTTTTTATTTTGTCATTTTTAATATCTAGTATGGGTTTCTCTCTCCTTAAAACCTATGTGACCCTGAAATTACTCTTATTGTGGTTTGGGAGTGGCATCTTTGTGTCAGGGAGAGAAGTGTGTGAGGCAGATGGACACCAGGTTGACTGGACACTGAGGCTCAAGGTAACAATGCGAGCGTCAGCCTTGGTGCTTGTGACATTTGGGGCCAGATGAGTCTTCGTTAGGGGACGGTGGACTGTGCTCTGCATCGCAGGGCGTTAGCAGCAGCCCGGCCTCAAGGCACTAAATGCCGTCAGGTCCCCTACCCTAGTTGTGACAACTGAAATGTCTCGAGGCATTGCCGAATACCATGGATTTAGAGCACAGACCCAGTGCACAGAGAGACCACCAACTGTGTTTCTGTAAAGAGTTGCCAGGACAGAACAGGGACGAGAGAAGGGGCATCCCTGAGGATTTCTCTTCCAGGCATGATCAAGCAGTTCCTTCGCGACGTGGACTGGGGAGAGGTCGACTACCTCGTCGTGGACACGCCGCCCGGGACGTCGGACGAACACCTGTCAATTGTCCAGTACCTGGCCGCCACACGCATCGACGGGGCAGTGATAATCACCACGCCTCAGGTGAGCGATGCCCGGTGGGGCTGGGCCCAGAATGTGCCACGACCGCAGGGTTCTTGCTCCTACGGCCCCGAGATCCTGGTCTCGAAGCGGCTCCTTAGAACGCGTGCTCCGCAGTGGAAACCTTTATTTATCGTTGGTCCAGGCATTTGCAGTTGGCACATAAGCATCCCACCTTTTTGGTTTTTAGTCCACCGATTAAACAATAGTGGTTCAAAACTGCTGTTTAAATTTCCCTTCCCGAAGCCAGTGAGCCTACTGGTGCTGTAACAATTCAGATCGTCCCTCATGGCCACATCTCCCTTCTGTGTCATACATCAAGCCCCCACAGTCTGTGGGGCCTCTTCCATTCACACTTCAGAACCCTTAGGAAATCACCCTAGTTTTCCACAGAACAGGGCTGGGGCATGGACAGGGACTTCTGGATAAGCGGCTGTGGTCCTTGTCCCTTCCTCGGCAGTGCCCAGCTCCTTCTCCAGCAGTCCCACGGAGGCCATGTGGAACCCAGAATGGGAAGGGAGCAGTGGGCAGTCCCGTCTTGAGGAGATCCAGCAGGCAGCTCTCTGCTGCGCTTCAGTGTTATCGCCGTCGATCCTAAGGGATCCCGAGAAACCCACAGACTCTTCCTTCAGTTGAACTGCTCCTTGTGGTATTCGTCTCCACTCCTAAGGAAGCACAACAGAGGGGGCGTGTTGGTCTGTCTGATTCAGCCAGGACCACCCTTTACTGAGCACCTGCTAAGGGCAGGCCCTGGCCAGGCCCCAGGGCAATACAACAGCCCAGGCCGCCCTCACGGTGACACGTGGGCACACATGTGATGCTGTGTCGACGGCGTGACAGGTGCAGCGTGTGAGGGTGCCTGGGGCAGGGAGCGGTGTGACGGGTTCAGAGCACTCTGGGGCCCTGTGGAGGGGGATCTTGGCGTGTGGCGAGCAGGACACTGCTCGGGTGGCTGGAGGGTGGAGGGACCTGGCCCGGGGATGGTGGTGGAAAGCAGATGGGTGCGTCCTTAGGAATGGTTTCTGTCGAATTTTTAAAAAGCGGTTGGGGTCCACCCTTGACCAGCAGTACTGTCGAGAGTAGGTCCCAGAGAAGTTACCTAAAAAGAAAACAGCCTCGTCAGAATGTACCACCCTGATGCGGGATGTTGATAGTGGGGAAGGTTTTTTGTGTGGGGACAAGGGACATATGGGAACTCTTTGTACTTTCTGCTCAGTTTTACCGTGAACCTAAAACTGCTCTAAAAATAATGTCTATTAAGAAACCAAGGGGCTGGCCCCATGGCCAAGTGGTTAAGTTCACGCGCTCCGCTGCAGGTGGCCCAGTGTTTTGTTGGTTCGAATCATGGGCGCAGACATGGCACTGCTCATCAAACCACGCTGAGGCAGCGTCCCACATGCCACAACTAGAAGGACCCACAACAAAGAATGTACAACTATGTACCGAGGGGCTTGGGGAGGAAAAGGAAAAAATAAAATCTTAAAAAAAAAAAGAAACCAAAACAACAACAAAATGTCGCTGACACAAAGATAGCTTCTCCAATACCACATTTATTGTGAGAGAAAACATGAGGTCCCCCTGGGCTTCAAGAAGAAGGGACAGACAGAGCAGATGCTGGCCCTTCTCCAGGAAGCCCCGGGACAGTGCTCCTTTGTGTGTAACTTCTCTGGAAAGTGTGACTTCACACGAGGACACCCACTGTCTCAGAGCCCTTCACAGCCAGCACCAGCACAGGCAAGTGGCTTTCTTTCGGGGTCATTTTTGACAAAGCTGCAGGGCTTTTATTTACAGGACACCAAGGAGAGAACCTCAGAGGTGCAGAGACTAGTTAAGACCCGGGTGCCTTTCTAGCCTCCTTGTCTGTACCAGCCTCAAAGAGGCAGGAGCCAGATGTGTGTGTCAGGGGAGGCAGAGATGACTCGGAGCCGTGAGCCCTGGGAGCCCTTGACGGTTTAAGCCACAGCAGCCAAGGAGTAACCACACTAGACAACAGCGGGCCAGACCGGTCCTTGGGCACACGTGTCTGCCATGACATTACACGGGGGAGCAGGGAGGGTGCGAAGCGACGATCATCCACAGTACGCATGCTGTAGAAAGCAGAGCTCAGAAGTGAATTAGAATTTGAATTTGTGCATGAAGTTGTTTGTGTTCATAATCATCGAGATCAGAGGTCAGCAAACTTTAATGGGCCAGAGAGTAAATATTCTGGGCTTCGCGGTCATACGGTCCCTTTCACAACCACTCAGCTGTACCACTGTAGGACCAAGCTGGAGACACTGTGTAAAGGGCCAGAGGGTTGTGCTCCAGAAGAACTTTATTCACAAATCAGGCAGCCAGCCAGAAGGAGGCTGCAGGCCGGCGTTCACCACCCCCAACCTAGGAAGCAGTGCACCCTGGCTCAGCTGATGAGAAAGTAGAACACGGAGAGATGTTGAAAGGTCACTTTTTGGGGCTGGCCCAGTGGTTAAATTCACGTGCTCCGCTTTGGCGGCCCGGGGTTCATCAGTTCAGACCCTGGGCGCAGACCTGCACACTGCTCATCAGGCCATGCTGTGGCAGCGTCCCACACAGAAGAACTAGAAGGACTTACAACTAGAATATGCAACTATGCACTGGGGCTTTGGGGAGGAAAAAATAAAAAAGAGGAAGATTGACAGCAGATGTTAGCTCAGGGCCAATCTTCCTCACCAAAAAGCATACCTTTAAAAAAAAAGGTCACTTTTCTGTAGATTCATTGGGCGTGTGCTATCTGGCTGTTCAGGTTTATCCTTTCAGGGTTTTGTGGGAAATCAATAGCACCTAGAACAGGGCTTGGCACATGGTTGCACTAAATAAATCCTTACTGAATCAATGGCACAAATCTCTAAGGCCTTATAACAGGAAGCCTGCTGCACTGCAGCCGCCCCCTCGACTGCACGCGCCTTCTCTTTCTGACACTTTGACTTTGAAATAACCAGTCTTTTGACCCTTGGTAGGAGGTGTCGCTGCAGGATGTCCGGAAGGAAATCAGCTTCTGCCGCAAGGTGAAGCTGCCCATCATCGGGGTGGTGGAGAACATGAGCAGCTTCGTCTGCCCCAACTGTAAGGTGAGGGCCGCCAGCTCGCCCCGCCCGTCCCTCGTCCGCGTTGAGGGCGTAACAGGGATGGTTCCCCGGAAACTGTTTCCGCTTTCCACACCATTTGCAGAAGGGAACTCACACTTAAAATCTTCCGTTGCTGATGTTAAGGAAAATCCTTTTGGTAGTGCTTCACAATCAAAATAGCCATTTTTTTAAAGTTTTTAAAAACGTGGTCCATTCTTATGATTCTGAAAGAAAATCATGGTTCCTCCCCGCTTTGATTCACCTCACAGAAAGAGTCTCAGATATTCCCGCCAACGACCGGGGGCGCCGAGGTCATGTGCCAGGACCTGAAGACCCCGCTTCTTGGCAGAGTGCCTCTGGACCCACACATAGGTGGGTGAGTTCAGCGCCCCAATGCGCCGCTCTGTCACTGAGTGGGGCCTCACACCCTGCTCAGTGTCCGGGCACAAATCAGGGCGGTGGGCCCTCGGACCCAGAGCCCACCCTCCAGCTGAGTGAAGCTGTGAGGCACACAGTCATGTGGCCAAGGGGGCCGGCAGAGCCCAGAGGAGGGCGTGCTTGGGCTGGAACTGGAAGAGCGGAGCAGAGATGGGTCAGGGAGATGCTGGGGGGACGGGGGGCACTAGGAAAGGAATGGGCCAAGGAGAGGCGACAGAAGGGGAGTGACCGGAGGAGGCTGCCAGTGGTGTGCAGTGGAGCTCCGCCTCACAGGAGTCAGGTCCTGAGGGGAAGGTGTGAACAGAACTAGCCTTGAAAACCCCTTAGGAGACGCCCCCCACATCCTGCCTCCTTCTGTGGGCAGCCCAGCACGGCCCCCTCTGTGTCCAGTGCTGATGGCCCTGTTTTTTCTCAGTGAGCTGTAGATGAAGTCAGGGCCATGTGGCAGGAAGAACGCTCCTCTTTAAGTCCCAGAGTCCCCAGGGCCCTCGAGACACTAGCTCTGTGGGCAGCACCGGGCCTGAGGGTGGCTGACCCTGTCGCCATCCCATCCACACTCCTTAAATTCCAGCCCACCTCCAAAGTTTTGTTTGCCTGAGGTAACAGAGTTGACCTTGCCCAAGGTAGAGGGGCCTGCGCCATGACCCCGACCATGAGGAGGTGGGCAGTTAGGTTTGGCAGAGGTGCCTGGGCCCGAAGGGAGTCGAGAGCGAGAAGCCTGACAGGGAGTACGGAGCCCAGCTGTGGACGGCTTTGCAGCCAGGCCTCGGAGCCTGGACCGCATTCGTTAGGAATCAGGAGACTTCGAGACTTCTGCGCGTGGGCGCAGGTGTGTGCTTAGAGAAGGAGCCTGTGGGCCGAGCAGTGGGTGGAGGGAGGTGAGGACTTGCCCAGGGCACAGGCGCTGGCACGGAGAGGAAGGGACATACACAGAAGGAACGTGACAGGACTGGACAGTTGGGGAGGAAGAGGTGTCCCAGATGTCCTGCTGTCCAGCCTGAGGCATCTGGAAGACGGGGATGTCACTCAGAAACCATGAGTGCGGGAGGCGCGTCGAGGGAAGAGCCGAGTTTGCCCTTGGCGCTGGGTGTAGAGGTGGGAGGCCTCCCGTCTGTCAGCAGCTCGGGAGAGCCATCAGGAGTGGACGAGCCCGTCCAGGCGAGCTGGCGGGAGGCAGGGGGCCGAGAGCGCAGCCTGGGGGAGGCCTGCCTGGAGGAAGTGGGGAAGGGGTTGAGAGGGCACCACACCAACATGGGATGACCTTCTAGATGAAATTACACATGGAAAAAGCAATGGGCAGAATGGGTACTGTGTGCTCCCATTCATTCTTGTGTGTTGTGTGTGAGTGTGTCTGTGCCACATTTATATGCAGATATTTCTAGAAAGACATCTGAACACTGATAGCTTCTTTTGGACTCACTTTTCATGGTATAACCTTTTGTATTCCATATTCCTGTGTGTGTGTGCTCATGTGCATGGGTGCTGGGAAAGATTCTCCCTGAGCCAACATCTGGTGCCAATCTTCCTCTTTTTTTTTCCCTCCGCAAAGCCCCAGTGCATAGTTGTATATCCTGCTTGTAAGTCCTTCTAGTTCTTCTGTGTGAGCCACTGCCACAGCATGGCTACTGACAGACGGGTGGTGTGGGTCTGTGCCCAGGAGCCAAACCTGGGGTGCTGAAGCAGAGCGTGCAGACTTTAACACTAGGCCATCAGGGGTTGGCTCCCATACTTTAATTATTTTTATTTTATTTTATTTATTTTGGTGAGGAACATTAGCCTGAGCTCCCATCTGTTGCCAATCTTCCTCTTTTTTTTTTTGCTTGAGGAAGATTAGCCTGAGCTAACATCTGTGCCAGTCCTCCTCTATTTTGTGTGTGGGACACCACCACAGCCTGGCTGGTGAGTGGAGTAGGTCTGCACCCAGGATCTGAACCCATGATCCCAGGCCACCGAAGCGGAGTGCATGAAACTTTAACCACTCGCCCACAGGGCTGGCCCCCTCCCATACTTTTTTTTACCATGTGCATTCATTATTTTTTTACTCAAAGGACTAAGTAATTTAAAGTACAGCTGTCTAGGCCCACCCAGGAGCTGCTGAATCGTTCTTTTGGGGCCCCTGGAACCTGCATTTGCCACCCACCTGCCAGGTGATTTGCAGGCACACACACTAAAGACCGTCAGCCAGGTGTGGGTCAGAGCTGTGCTGAGGTGCTAGCCAGGGTCCCTGCTGGATGGAGGGGGCAGGTGCCATCTGAGAGACCCCTGACTTCTTTCTCAGCTTTGTTCTTCATTGCGAGTGACGTAACCACCAGCCAGATCTTCATAATGTCACGGGCACAGAAGGAGCTCCAAGTTCACGTTGCCACCGTGTTTTCCTCATGGATTTGATTTTCTGTCATTTGTTTTTTTAAGGTAAGAGTTGCGACAGAGGACAGTCTTTTATGATCGACGCGCCGGATTCACCAGCCACTTTAGCCTACAGAAGTATAATTCAAAGTAAGTGTTTCTGTGAGTCTTGTGAATTCAGATGGCGACGGGGCCAGAAAGTGACATAAATGAGTGAAGTGGGCTGGGTGTAAGAAGATCCCATTTAGGATCATAATTGGTCACTGCCACGCAGCCTCAGGTGGGGACAGAAGGGGTAGTGGGGTCTGGGATGACCCCCTTAGCCCAGGAAGCCAGGAGTCTGAGAAATCTTCCCGTACATCAATGTTGTGAACCGAGTTGTCATTTAAAAAGCCCAGTGAGGGTGAATTTTACGGTACAGGAAATACATCTCAGGAAAGCCATAAAAGGAAATTGTTAATTAAAAACAACAACAGCAAAGCAGAGTGAGCCAAACCAAACCCATGTGCAGGCCCGATTCAGCCAGTGGGCAGTCATCAGGGCCTCGAACGTGAGGCAGAGGCAGCGGTAGTTAACGCTTGGTTTGTGGCTGAGTTCTTTTTACCTAGTAAAATGGTGCCGAAGTAACAAAGGTAAGTAACGTCGTTCCCAGGATTCTCGATCTGTCGAATGGGCCGATGTAAGGCCTCCAGTCTGTGCTCAGAACCACAGATGGGCAGCAGGCAGTATTCAGGTCACTTTTGAAGCTTCGGGTCATGGGCAGAAACGGGGCTTTTGGGGAATGAAGCCGTCTGGGGACTCTGCCCCGTCTAGACTCGGCCTCCCCAGCACAGGGCAGGGCTGCCTGGGGGGCTGACGCGACGTCAGGGCTCCTGAGCACACCACTTGTTTTCCAGGAATCCGAGAGTTCTGTCGTCTCCATCAGCCCAAAGAAGAGCAGCTCGTTGGCTCCTGAGACCCTGGAGGACAGCGAGGAGGCACAGCACACGGTCCAGCCTGACCCGCTGGGCGACAGAGTGGGAGCCCCGGGCGGAGAGGGAACAGACTCGGGCGTGGGGTGAAGTCACAGTTCCAGAGACACTTGAGTCATCTAAGATTTGTACACTTCTCTCTAGAACATACGTAAAGGGCGTTCCTTACATTCCTGCCATTTCACAAATAAAAACGTCTCAGGCCTCGCCCCCAAGGCCCACTTCACGTGAAAAACCAGGTGCTGTGGGTGCGGCGTTCTCCTCTGGGGAAGCTTGTAAGGTGCCAGCAGCTGCCCCTGATGCCACTGCTGCCACCAAGACGAGCCTGAAAAGACCCAAAGGGAGGGCCGTGCGGCTCCACCGCACACAGTCCTGGATTCACTTACCCTCCAGAGCGAGGAACAGTTAACACCAGCAGGCCCTCGCACCAGGGCGTGCTCTGAGGGCAAGCATCCGATGCAGCTGGGTGTGGCCAAACAGCCTCGAAAAGCCCTTAAATCACCCACGTAAACAGAATTGGGGTCTGTACCCTGCACGGTAGTCTGTGTACCCTATATCCAGTAATTTTAGCTTCACATCAGATAGCTCACAGTGTGATTTTAATTACATAAAAAGGAGAGACATGTAAACTCTAGAATTATCCACAGTGCCGTGAGATGCTTGCTGTGTGTGAGAGATGCACAGGAACCGAGACCAGCGAGGGGAAGAGCAAATTCCTGTTTTCCATCCTCCTCCGGGCGTGTAAGTGGAAGGGTGGACCAGCCCCCGTGTTCTTTCCCTCCATCTCTCCTTTCGCTTCCACCTCTCCTTCATGCCTGCACATGGGCGAATTTGCACATGCTCAGGTGGGGAAGCTGGGACCCTTCTAAAGGGTGAGGAGGCTGCATAGCCCCCGGAAGGCTCAGAGCACAGGCTGGTCCCGCCAGCTACGCACCGGCTGCTCAGGGCAGTGGGGGACGCCTCTGGACCGCAGGCACAGCCGAGCCAGCCAGGGAGCTGCAGGTTCACAAGCCCCCAACCCCAGCCGCCCAGATGCCGCCTCCATCCCACCTCTTACCTAATGCTGGTGGATCTCCAGCCCCTCGAGGCCAGGCTTCTGGAAGTCGCTGCAGGCCTGCAAGGGGAAGAGTTGACATGGCTTTCTGTCGTCACACGTGAGTGGCCTGATTCTGCTGACTCAAGGCCAGAGCCAACCCACAATGTGCCGACCACACAGAGCTGTTGCCCAATATCCCGCCAAAGCAGCACGGTTCAGATTTAAGATGGCACAGACCACTTCAGCATGAGCACGGTCAAATCTAAAAGACTATTTCTCACTTCTGGAAATATGCGCTAGGTTAAAAGAAAAAATTTTTGTGGTTCTTAATAGTATAGTTTTAAAAAATCACCTAAAACTAACAGTGGCAGTCCCAAAAGGACAAATAGTATGATTCCACTTATGCAAGGTCCCTGGAGTAGTCACATTCACAGGGACAGGAAGGAGATGCTGGCTACCCGGAGCTGGGAGGAGGGCAGGAGCTTCAGTTTGGGAAGATGGAAGTGTCCTGGAGAGGGATGGTGGTGACGGTTGCATGACAGTGTGAATGTCCTTCATGCGCTGAACTGTTCACTTAAAAATGGTTAAAATGGTAAATTTATGTTATGTATATTTTACCACGATAGAGAAAAACCAAACAGTGGCAGGCTGGCTGCTACTGGGAAACATTAAAAGCAGCAGTTGCCAACAGGCCTGCCTAACTTTGAGCGTCTGGAGAGCAGAGGTCCAGGAGTCAGACTTCAGTAACTCACCGTCTGGAACACCGTCTGGGACAGGAAACTGGCCGTCACTTTGCTGATGTCACTCTCGCCACCCATCTTACAAAGGATGTAGCCGTACAGGTTAGCGGCTTGGAGAGAAATCCCAGCTATCACGAGGGCCTGTACTCAGAGTAAAGGGGGTTCTTCTCAGGGCATGTGTGGAAACGCCCGTCCCACACCAAGTCAAAGGGGCTCTGGCCTACACCGAGTAGTAACAGCCGACCTTTATCGAGCGCCTACAGTACTCGTGGACACTTCATAATTGTCAACAACACGAGAGTCTGGTGCCATGACCATCCCGTTCGACAGGGAGGAAACTGAAGCACAGAGAAACCAAAGTTGCTAGGTCACGGAGCTGATGCGTGGTCCAGCCAGAATCCAAACCGCAGAGCCCACACTTAATGATGCTGTTGTTTCTATACTGTCTGTGGATATTCTGTTTTCTCATTGAATGAACCAGATCATGGCAATGAAATATGATTCTGAGATAAAACTTCAGAACTCCAAGGCTAGGGTTCCCTGGGAGGGGCTCCCTGTCCAAGGTAGGATGCCATACGCTTTTTCTAGAAACCCTCTCGTAGCAGCATGAGTCAGACGAGCCAAAAGGTGGAAACAGCCCAAATGTCCATTAGCAGATGAGTGGCTAAACTCAATGTGGCATATCCATCCAATGGAATAGTATTCAGCCATAAAAAAGAATTATGATACCTGCTACGACACAGATGAACCTCGAAAACATTATGTTAAGGGAAAGAAGTCAGCTACAAAAGACCATATGTTGTATGATTCCATATATAGGAAATGCCCAGAATAGGCAAATCTATAGAAACAGAAAGATTAGTGGGAACAAGGGGAACAGAGGCATGGCGGGGGGAATGGGGGATGGCTCAAGGGTACAGGGTTTCTTTTTGCAGTGATGAAAATATCCTAAAATTGATTGTGGTGATAGTTGTACAACTCTGAATATTCTAGAAGCCATTGAATTATACACACTAGATGGGTGAACTGCCTACTATGTGAATTATATCTCAATAAAGCTGTTTCCATCATCAATTAATTGATCAATAAAAACCCACTCCTGCCACCAGTGGTTCTGTGCAGATGTCACAGCAACGTCAAAGTCAAGGTGTTGCCTTACCAGCCACTTTAGCTTCAAGGAAAATAAGGTGCTAAAAAAGAACACGATCCAAATCATCGGGCAGATAACGAGGCCAAGCCAGAAGATTCGCGCCTCAGCTTCCGTGGCAGCCATGTTATTTGGAGTGACCTGTGGCAGGAAAGAGATTCCGTTTTCAAAACCGTGAAAATGGTCGCAAAGGAGCATGCTGCCACTTTCGTGTATTTCACATGGGCTTCTGCTCCCACGCGACTCTGAACGGAGCGCCAGCAGCGATGGGCGTTGCGTAGGGCGGGAATCAGATCAGCACGAAGCCCAAGCGGAACCCACGGCAACTTCCCACAGCCGTGTTCCGGTTCTAGTTCGATGACTCGTAACGGACAATACCTTTCTGGCTTCAAAAATCCAGTGGCTTTTCCCGTCTTCATCTATCTGGTTCCACCAGCAAAGGCCGACCATGAGTCTTCCGGTTACATTCTGAGGAAGGTGGACAAAATGACTGTAAGCGTGCCACAGGCAAGGAGAGCGTCGTCATCTTTTCATCGAGGAATAAGATGAAGTCACCGATTCATGTTGAACTTGGACTGGGAGCAGGAGGAGGGCGGGACTGACCTGTGTGGTTCCCCAAAATCAGTTTCAAGGCTTCTAATTTTTAACTAAGCTTACCTTGAAAAGTGACAGGATCCCCCCTACCACCAAATATATGTTTTAAATATATTATATGTAAATTTTACCAAAAAATCCAAAGCCCTATGGAATTCTCACCCTCATCTGGTACACATTTGCAACCATGACAATTCATACTCAGAAGCCATTTTTTCAACACTAAATAATGTGTTTTTTCTCTAATTTAAAGTGATGCTGGCTCAGTATTCTTAAGTGTGTGTCAGCAATTTAAACCAAAGTACCTCTTGGCCCAAATCAGCCGCATGCATCAGCAGTGTCACCACCCGGAAACGCAGCCCACGTGTTTGGGGAGCAACGGTGTCACAGGCAAGGGGGCCTTACCTTCACAGACCAGAAGTCGAAGGACAGAAGGAGAAGCACAGTGACAAAACAGCCCACAAAGCTTCTGCTGAACCAGTCACAGCACACGTAGGTGACAGTGGCACTCACTCGGAAAAACAGGTGGAAAAAAGTGGCCAAGGGGTGCCTAGGAAAGAACCCAGACGCCCCCTCAGTCCAGGGCCAAAGGGCAGTCGCTGAAGCCATGGTTTCTGACTTTCCATGTTCCCCCCAGTGCACTTCAAGCCCAAACTCAGTGGGGCCGTAGCCCTGAGGACACATCACTAAATAAGAAGCGCCACACCAGTCATCATTACACTAGCAGTTTCTTCTCTCCCTCTCGAAGAATCCAGTACTTTCCCCTGCCTCGATCCCAAATATCACTTGCCCTCTCCGAAACTCAGTCACCTTTGAAATGAAACGTGACCAGGGTCACACCTTCCCACCTTGCAGCGAGAATGACCAGTTCCCTAAAGGTTAAGGTCGGGTTATTCCGCCAGTAACTGGGCGCCGAATCCACATGCACCCACGGGTGCAGAGTCTCATGTCATCGGGGAATGCGTGTTCCTGGACAGAGGGAAGTGATCATGACGTGAAGGCGGCGGGTCTAACTCATAGCTGCTCATAGTGAGTGGCACCTGAATGATGAAATTTACCCTAGAGGAAGATGGTTCTTATTCACTCTGCCTGTAGACACGGAAGAAGAGAGAACCAAGGGGAATACACTCATCCTACATCAATTGCTTTTTTTAAGAAAAAAAGAGTCTGAAAGACAGGAGCCCAAGGGAAGGTCATTAACAAGGGTCATGCATGTTTCTAGAACAGATAGCGAATACCTACAGGGGTCACGCAGGTGACGGCGGTGGGTGACATGGGCCAGGCAGAAGATACTCATAGCTTTCTATTTCTTTCTTTGGAATCCACCTCGGGAGAGTACAGGTATCCAAAAACACTTAACTGCAAGAAAGCTACAGAGCAAGCCCGAGGATAGATGGCCATCGAAGTGCCACCCAGTGTAGGGAGGAAGGGGAGGCGACGCTACTCAGCATACCTCACCCTGTAATGCCGACCTGATATTTGCACGAGAAGCCAGAAATCCAGACTTGGGATGGGAAATCAGATTTTTAAATAATGGCGACTAATTATGTTAATAAAATATTGCAGGCTGTTTTATGCCAGTCCTTGAGCCGCCAGCTTGCAAACTCTGGGATGATCAGAGGGAACCCGCAGGCCTGCAGCGGGGAGGAGCTGCTTGTGAGGTCATAGTACGCAGCGTCAGCTCCTAGAGAACCGTGCGTTTCTGACTCCCGAGGGATTGTGAACGAAGGCTCAGAAACACAATTTATAGTGACGTCTGCATCTTCCAAAGGCAGAGAGCCCCAAACACTGGCCATTCACCAGAACGTTTCTCATCCGTGCTTTTCGGAGGCTGAGCTCTCCTGGCAGCCTGGAGGAAGAGCCAGCCTGGGAGGTGTAGCCGGCATTTAAGAATTAGACGTGATCATGTAGAACTTCCAAATCTGGAATGTTCCAGAAGATAAGACTCTTGGGAGTCTCTTATACCCTTTTTGCCTTAAATCTTATTGAGGCTCTTTCAACTAACTGACTCGATACAATTTGGCCCCTTCACCCTGAAGATGAGTCCTCTTGCGAGGACTGAAAATTGTTTGAGGGCAGAAACCACATTTTAGATAATTTTATATCCCCGATAGCGCCCGGCATTTAAGATTCTTGGCAAATGTCTGTCATGTCAAACCCTGTAATCAGTCCGTTAAGGATCACGGGGAACATCTGTTGTCTTTGTAGAACAAGACAGACTTAAAAGATGTCCGAGAGACCCGACTACACTGATCCAGGGTCAAACCTGGAAGTTAATGCATTCGAATAAATCCCCTGCCCGCCCGCTTTTTCTTTTTTTGGCTGTGGTTTCCTGAAATAAAATGCAGAAAAAATTCCAGTTGCTGGAAGGTTCTGCTTAATTGGGTCCTGGAAACTGACTGTTCCCTTAACTTGTAATGGAAAGCATTATTATTATTATTATTTGATTCAAACAAAGCCCAAAGCAAGTAGAGAAGGATGCCAATTGCGCTTTCAAATACGGCTCTAATCCTGTTTTATGCAGGGTGCTCCCCAGGCAGCCGTGCGAGGCCTCCCTCAGCCCCCCGCAGCTCGCACCCCCTGTGTCCCCAGCTACACTAATGCGGTCTTGCGTCAGTTTTCCAGTCTCAAGAGTTGTGAAGGGCGTGGCTTAAGCCCGTCCACCCTCCCCTGCCATGGGGTCCTTCGTCCTCCCAGCGTTCTCTCCGGCCACCTCCGCAGCCGCAGAGCACACACAGACACGGTGACATCACCTCCATCTCTCAAAGCCACTGGCTTCCAACTCCACCCTCCCAGGCACCCACCTGGTCCCCCCTCGGGAGGTAAACCGTGCAGAGGTGCCAGGCTGCCAGGCTTCACGTCCTCTGAGAAGCTCCATGGCCCTTCCCTATGCTATGTAACCTCTCGACACCTCAGTCTCTGCTCCTGTAAAATGGGAATGCCAACAGGCGCCACTTCCAACGACATTAAGGAGATGAAGTGAAGGTGGGACGCATAATGTGCTTGAAACCCGGACCAGGCTCAGTAACTGTGAACAGCTGTTGGTACCTCAGCCCTCAAGTCACTCGAAACTGTCCCACCTCCAAGGAGCCAAACAGTAGAATTCCCCTCTGACCACAGCTTTCTCTGTCTGATTCCCCAGGGGCGGACTGTGATGTCTGCAGGGATCCCCCCAGACCCCTGATGGTCCAGATCCGCGCCTCCCTCCGCTCTCACTGAAGAACCTACATCCCTCGACTTTAACAGGTAGCATCTTCCACTCGGTACCCAAGGCTCTCCTCCACCGGCCAGGGAGAAGTCTGTGACCTCAAGGAGTGGAGGAAGAAAGACAGATGGAGAAAGGTGGAAATGAGATTTCTTAAAGTGTGGCCAAGGTGGGGAGAGTCTTGATGCGCTTTGGTTCAAGTTTAACCCACTTTCCCAGTTCTGAGCCCCAGCACACCTATTGGCTTCCTCCTCGCAAGGAAACGCAGAAGCTCCTCAGCCTGGAATGTGCACGAAAGGCCCCTGAGGAGGCCTCAAAATGTGCCCAAGGCTGCCCCTGTCCCCGGACACGCGGGCACAGATTTGGAGTGGCGCCTGGACGTGAATCTGACCAAGGACAAGCGCCGCCCTATACTGGATTCACAAACTCCCCCCAAGAGCCGACTGTGGCCCACTTCCTGGTCCTGTGAATAAAGTTATATTGGCACGCTGCCACGCTCACTCATTCGCTGGCCTGCAAAGCCGAAAATATTGACCCAGAACGTGTGCCAACCCCTGCTCCAGGCTGGCAGGAACAATCTGGTGATGAAATTAGTCTCCATTCAAAACAAAACAAAACGAAGCAGACTGCCACTCCTGGTCCCTTCCCCTGAAAAAACAAATCTGCTCTGAGAAGCTGCAGAGCCAACGGATTGGCTAGAAATCAGGGCAGCGTCATCTCTGGGGATGGGTGAGGGGGTGGTGACCCGGAAGGTGCACAGGGCGCCGTCTGGGGGCTGGAGATGATCCACGTCTTGATCTCGTGTGTACACGTGTGTAACTAATCATTGAGCCGTACACTTAAGATGAGTGCACTTTACCGTATGCACAGTACATCGCGATAAAAAAAAATTCTGATTAAGTCCCTGACCAAAATGTTTGCAAGTTACCCTAAAAATTCTACATGGTACACATCCAGTAATCACGCTCCTCAGTATTTACCCAAATGAGCTGGAAACTTAGATCTGCCCAAAAAACAGCACACAGATGTTTACAGCAACTTTACCCGTTATGGCCCCAAATTGGAAGCTCCTCAGAAGTGTCGGAATAGGTGAATGGGTAAACTGTGGTCCATCCACACAATGGGATATTACTCAGCGCTAAAAAGCAATGAGCAACCGAGTCATGAAAAGACACGAAGGAACCTGAAATACATGTTACAAAGTGAAAGAAGCCAGTCTGGACAGGCCGTGTGCTGTATGATTCCAGCTGCAGGCACGCGTTGCTTAACAACGGGGCACGTTCTGAGAAATGCGTCGTTAGGCGATTTCGTCGTTGTGCGAACATCACAGAGTGTGCTCACACACACCTAGATGGCACAGCCCACCACACACCTAGGCCCTATGGTACTGATCTTACGGGACCACCGTCATATGTGCGGTCCGTTGTTGACCGAAACATCGTGATGTGGCGCATGACTGTATATGACATTCTGGCAAAGGCCAAGCTATGGAGTCAGTAGAAAGATCCGTGGTGGCCAGGGGTTGGCGGGATGGAGGATGAAATGGCGGAGCACAGGGGATTTTTAGGGCAGTGAATCCACTCTGTACGATGCTGTGATGGTGGACATTTGTCACACATTTGTCAAAACCCATAGAACTGCACAGCACCAAGCAAGAACCCTGATGTAAACGCTGGACTTGAGTTAATAATAACATACTGGTTCCTCAACTTTAACAGACGTACGACACTAACACAAGATGTTAACAACAGGGGGAACTTTGGAGTGAGAAGGGGCTTATGGGAACTCTCTGGACTTTTTGCGCAATTTTTCTGTAAATCTAAAACCACTCTAAAAAATGGACACAGCCCGGGGGCGTGCTCTGCCTGGACAGAGTAAATACAGTAAAACGGGGAAAGTGAGTGTCCCATGGGCCCCCATCTCGCCTTTCCCACAGACTTCCAAGAGAGGTTGATTTTGGGGGAAAAATTGATTCAATCCTAAATTTAGCAGTCATCCAACGGTATCCTTAAAAGTCGCCCTTTATTTGTTTAAATTACTTTGAAAACCATACTCTGGTTTTTTATGACTGTCTCCAGCTTGAATTCCTCCTCAAACATCCTATTTTAAATTCTCAGCCATCTGTCTGACACTCTGGGAAGCTGTCTGCTTTTCCCTGTGGCAAAGGTCGGAGGAAAGACAGCATCTTTCCTGCTTGGTTTACTTTGCCACTAAAAGAAAGCATCTGAGATGATGTCTAGAATTTGCTTCAAAATAACCCGGGGGTGGGGGGTGGCTGGGGGTGAAGATGACGTGGGCAGGCCATGTGCTGATCACAGCTGAAGTTGGGCAATGGGAACACCAGC